AGGAACGGAAGGGTGCAAACAACTCCTAGGTGGTATGTCTTCTTTAAGAAAGTTCTGTGAATCCGTATAAACCTATCAATCACATGTTTGTCAATTTTCTCTAATTTTTGGGATGCATTCGTAGAATGTGGGTGACACTGCTAAGATGCAGGGGCAGGTTCAGCGCCCTAGTTGATTGTTGGTCGATGCAATCGATGATATGATCACAAACGCCTTGTGGTCATTCGGTATGGCTTTGTACGCAATCTGATAGCCGTGTTGCCAGCAGACTGATCGACGAGTCCAATTAAATGAGCACACCAAGGTAACGTGAAACCAAAAAAGGACACCGTAACTAACAACTTCCTAACGATATCATCTCAAGTAGCCTAGAAGAATTAGCCATCTTTTCACCAATCCAACAAATCAAACCAAAGGACAAGAGTACCCAGCCATTTATTCATTTTGAATGTTAAGTAAAAAAAAAGCCGGAAACTCGCTTAAAACAATCTCCCTGTCATATGTTGTAGTGCAATTTGCTGAGTATTACGTCCGTTTTGAAGGGTAATGCATAACAACGCAAATTAGCAAGTGCGTTGACCTCAGCAATTAGAAAATAAGCTAGAATAGTCATTGATTATCTTCATAACGTTTGGATCTTCCTTACATCAGTCGCCCGATGTAAGAAAAAGCATTCGTCCTCTAACAAAATCGAGCAAAGTCCTTCAACGAAAGCACCATTTGATGCTTGATCATGTGGTGAAAGGTTCCAATCGGGATATACAACATACAGTTCCGAAAATTATTAAAAATTAGAAGAAAATGCAAACATACATAATACTGAATGCAGTGAACCTCACGTCAGTTCTACATGGTGATTTCAGACGCAGACCGCTTCTGTTTCACTTAGTGTCAACAATATATGAAACCTCTACTTTGGGTACCCAATGATATCGATCTGATACGAATTACATCAAAGTACAGTGTACATTGGGGTTTTTATTTCTTATGCATATCAGGCCAAACCAGTGACATAAAATATATGGGAAAGAATTCATAAATTAGATACGCATCATCGATTTTGTTCCAGTTTACTCTGTTCTTCAGCCAATTCCTGGAATTCATAACACCAAAAAACGGTGGGCAGCCAGTACCACTGAGAAACTAACTTGTTACGGCGGTTGCTTGTCTGTTAAAAACTAAAATGAAATAAGAACAGTCACGTATAAATCCCACTGATAGGTAAAAAACATTTTTGTTCCTATGTTAAGTGAGTTTGATGCCTAAGACATACTTTTAAAGGTTATGGCAAAGGCGTATCCTGAAAGTTTTATGCTCAACACGACATATTAAATACAGACCAAACTTTTCTTGAACGGAACGGTATTTCTTTCACTTTCACATGAATGTTGTTGCGGATATATTGAACCACCAGTGAAATAGTTCTGCATCCCAAGACTTTATTGGTTTGTGATTTTAGATTTAGTTGCTTCAACCTCTTAGTGTCTCCTGAAACACGTTTTCTTGCTACGTAATTCACTGCTTGAAGTGTGGCAGAATACTGTCAACGATAATGCATTTACTTGTACTGGCCGAGCTTGGCAATCAGCTTGCAAACGAGTCCTCACCGACCGGGGCATTATCAGAGCTATTATTTGTAATAGCTCTCTGATTAGTGACAGAACCTCCCAAATTAATTGCTAATCTCGTTTAACGGATTAACATCCACCCCTTCAACAACTGACTTCGCGCTGATTAGCCCAAAACGATGCATCTACTTACTTCATCGTTCTAACTGTGCTGTTTATCTAGTTCTGGTTTGAGTCAAACTCTCAAGGACTTCCTTCATCCCACAAGTTCTTTAGTGTCATCCAAGAAATTGGAACTGTCTTCAGCACCATCATATAATAGATTAAGGCAAATGTTTGCTTCATTTGATCCAGATCGTCACAGCTGATCACAAACGTAGTGACAAAATTCACATCTTGGAAGTCAAAATTTATGGTTATGAATTCGACTACTCTCAATTTACTGCCTACCTTTTAACTCTGTGGAACTGTACCAGAATTTACAGCCTTTGACGTAAACACCGTTAGCAGGTGCCATTGCTGGCGATTTCTTACCTAATTCCACGTTTCAACTTGACCTTTATCTCCTTCCAAAGTTCTCTTTTTCGAAGGTAATTCATTCTTTTGTAATAAACTACTCATAAGGTTGCTGAAAATCCATCGACAGCCCACGACCGGTTTCGACTTTCGTAGGGCTCATCAGGTAGGCGCAGTCCCCGGGTTTCCGGCAAACTTATGTTCTACTTGAAACCAAATTGCACGGAATTAGCGAATATACACTCATTTGCAAACTAATTTGGTTCCTTCCAGAGACTCACTTGGAACCCAGCTGAATCTCTCCGGTTTTTAATTATTTTATGATGTTCTCAGTCAACTGAATGTGCTACACCAGGCCGCTGCATATTTCAGTCGCTACGATATTTGAAATAACGCGACACATGTATATGTTTGTAATGTACTACAACCTTTTTGTGAGCAACCTTATGAGTAGTACATTACAGATATTTACAAGTATTGCGATATCTCGAGTATCGTAGCAACTGAAACATGAGGCGGCCTGGTGCAGCACAGTCAGTTGTCTGAGAACATCATAAACGATAGATTCAGCTGAGTTCCAGGTGAGTCTCTCGAAAGGACCAAATTAGTTTGCAGATGAGTATGTATTCGGTAATTCATTCTTCCTAACTGCCACATTTCGTGGATGTGACAAGATAAATCACCACCGGTGTACGGCGTTCTAAATCTCGTCTTGATTATGATATGCTGTCATTATCACAGACGAGTTTACTTTACTTCGTTTTGCCTGCCTGTAGTGCCTATCATCAAGGCCATTGCTTTAAAAGTCGAAAACCGACTACAGGTTTGAAAGCCCAGGTTATAGAAACCCTAAAGACCATACTTGAAGCATACACGCAGACCATAGAAGGTCATTTATGCCTACGGCAACATGCTGAATAAAATCCGTTCACGGTTACCCGGCAAAAAAATCGCATGCAATTTTCGGTCTGCAAACTTTAACATTTATATTCGCAGTAGGACTTAAATTAATCGACGTGAGGTGTTCAACACGCCTTTTTGCTCACAACCATAGAACATATCTCAATAACGCATCTCAATAACGCATAACTCATTGTCATCATACGCTTTGCCCAAATGTGCACTGTGCGATCAAAAACAGGCAGTTACTTGAGGCGAGTTCATTGGGAAAAATGCAAAGCTACTGATTAGCAAAGCGGTGGTATTCCTTGCGCAAAAGCTGTGCACCGCAGCGAAAGACTTTTGTTTAAGGCTAATACTTGGTCTTCAGGAATGGAGCTATCGTTCAATTTTTTCGAACAATGTTGTGTATCAGAGAACGAACATGCCTTCGGTATGACACTAAGGGGTTTGAATGTGGGTTTGTACTTGAGCAAAACCATTCCATAGGGTTATGTGGGTCCTGGTGACAGGACAGTTATTGAACAAAGCAAATTTGCACTGGTATCGCTGGAACAGTGGAGTATTTATACTTTTTAATGGATAAGGTTGAGCAGTTAGCTAAATGATGGTTTGTATTGGCATTTAAACGCCCGCTTTTTTGAACAGATCTACTATTGCCATAGTGAACTGATTCTGCTTAGTCTACACCAAACCAATATTACAATGGGCTAAAGAATTCGTTAGTTGTGTAAGTCCACAGGACTAATGGGAGTGGAACCAGGATCAGCTGGCATGAAGGATGGGACATCAAAGGATGCTTGGTGCAGCCGATTTACCATGTCAAAACAGGCAACCTCCTCCATATCTAGTGAGCCCGGCCACTCGAAATAGATCCACTTGATATTTTAATTGATTGTTCAACTGCAGCATGGTCGGTGTTTTTTCCACTTATAAACAAATAAGTATACGGTTGGTTCGCTGAACTTCGTAGTTAGGTTCTAGGAGGCAAACTTTACAACCAAAGTAGGCTTTAGGTTTGGATTGACAACCTCCCTGTTTAACGCCTCTCAAAGAGAACGTTTGTGAACAATTTTTCGCGATAGAATTCGTCTATTTTATCAGTGAATCAGTTGATTGCTCTAATATTGTTGCTGTGGAATAGACCCACTAAAATAGGGTTATCGTATAGTACAGTTTTGCTTATTTCACAGTTTTAATGCTCTGTTTTTTAGTTACAAAATGATAAAATGAATGTCTTAAAGATGTGTGTAACGTTCGATACCAGTTAATTTGCATTTTTTTGGTGTAATCACTATCCCATCTACCAGTTTGGATATTCTGCCAACAATTCGTAATTTTGTCTGTCCATACTGTTCAGATTGTCGTAATAATTGATGGTGATCAGCACATAGCAACATTGATTTCAACCACTCGGCTAGCACTTTGTGGTGAGCGAAATTGTAGCTTAGCAACCTAGTTTCCTGCCTGCTTTATTTTAATTCATTTTGGGACATTCCTTCGCATCAACTGGCTTGTGGACGCAGTCGCCTGATAAATTTTGAATGAGTTCTTCAAGGAATGGCATACAAATATTTTTGTTGAAAAGTAGTACGGATGAAATGTTTGTTTAGAATTCTCTTGCAAGGACAATGACGGTCACAGATCAGAACTAGTCACCTGTGGACAGCAGTATTTAACTGATGGGCCGCGAGACTGTTCTGATAAACATTGAAGATGTACAGACTAGAAACAATTCAAGAGGTTGCGTGTGAATAATTTACTAGCTGGGTTTATAAGGCTGTCTGACAGTGAACGTGAACTTATTTGACTTAGACCTCGTAAAACTAATAGTATTTGCCTTGAATTAAGATGAAAGCGACACAGCCAATATGACTAGAAGCCCAAATATGATAAGTGCAGATTTAGGCAGTTTTGAGAACTTTGCCTCACCGCTTGAACGTGACAGCTTATTTTACACCATTTCACTCATTTTTGCACGTCTCAATGGCCATTTTTTTCGTTTCTTCGCAACAGAATATGTTGATTGCTTATCAAACGAGAGAGGAACTCACAGGCTATGATCCTAGTGATCCTGAAAATGCAGAGGCACCAATTCGTAAGTTTGTCAGCGAAACTTGTCACTGGTTTGTCATCCAATGTCCTTCAATTTGAAGTGCCGTCCTTCTGATTATAGAATCTAGCAACTGTTTAGTGATTAAATCAGTTTACTTAACTGGTTGTTGCTATTCCTCAGGACAGTTCGGGATGGCCAGATAGTTCGCGATTGGAACCGAATTCCGGCATCTGGATCACTTTAGTTTAAGTTTGAGCATTACAACCCTGCTGTTTTTGGGTAGAATAGCAGCCAGGCAACAAAACTGTGCTGTAGATCAACCATTATATGATAATTTTGCTTTTTGAAGGACAGCTGCATTTTACTAGCAAACAGCTCAAATTCACCAGGCCCTGCTTTCTTACCAAAATTTACTCAACTATTACAGAATGACTGGCATCAAAAGTTGTAAATCATTTAGTTGAGGTGCGACGGAAATTGACCAATGAGCGACCGTAGTAGGTTATGCTATCGTTCATTCTTGAAGAGCATGGTCACAGACATAAAAAGTGAATGCAAGCGATGAAGGTCAAAGGGTTACAAGAGGATATTAGATAAAAACACAGAGGTGTCTCATTTGAAGTCATGCCACCAACAGTTCCAGTCAGACAAGACGAATCTCAACGTATGTAAGAATGTTTGGTATGGAAACACGCGTGTAAAGACAAACAATCGAGGAAGGGACAGGCAATGCTAGTAGCTTTTCAAGGTGCGGTAGGCGCTAGCACTGTCAAGACTCGCACATCAGGCAAAGAGCGTCCGTCATACTGGGTCTGGGGTGAGATTCAATGACAAAAATCGCACCCTCATGGCCATGAACCACGCATAAACGTGTCCTGAATACGCACAGAATTCAAAATGGCAAGCAAACACAGGTCACTGACTGTGACCTTAGGAAGTCTCAGTCCAATAAGAGTCTTGGTGGATTGAGGAAAGCAGATCCCTCGATAAGAGATGATCACCACCAACCAAAAAGTCGACCTCAAAACCGATAGCTCATAGAGCTGAGGTTATGGGAGGCAATATTCACCAGGTACGTCGAATAGTCTTCCAAATTCGTAGTTCTCTCTTGGCAAGTCACTTGCTCACTCCCCATAGGTTAGGCTGTTAGTCGTGCACTTCGAATGTCAGAGAAACATTCGCCGTGCACAGCTCCAGGCTTGTATCAGATGAAGATGACCAATGGGATCCATGAATAGGCAGCAATGCATGAAAACCCTTACCACTACTTTCAGTTGCTCTGGAAACCGCTGTCACTCCACACAGGGGCCCCGGGAAGAGGCAAATCAGTGGTTAGTGACCCCGACAGTTATGGTCATCTTACGCATCCAACGATGATTGTACGTCAAAGTTGTCGCTTATAATATTCACCTATCCTATTCCTTGCCATATCGGGAAAACAGAAGTGATGTACATCAATGAATTGGTACAGTCAGGGATTGATTCTAATTCCCATATTCTTCTTGTTATCGGTAAACAAAGGTGTAGCAGCTGAAACCACTGCACTGCTACACACCGCCACAGCCGACACACTGAAATGGTAAAGTGCATGAGCATAAAATCCGCAGCACTCCCCCAAGATCGCCATTGGGTCCATTAGCCTTCACTCTTTTTTGTAACCAGAGTTGCAAGTCGGTTAAACTCATCCATCTCATGCTTATAGTAGTAGAGAGCGAGGAATACACAATGAAGCATGTTTCAGAATAATTTCACATTCTCGTGCAGCTAACACCGCTGAGTATATACCGATCTTATGCCAACGTATGGTCGGCTTGGTTTAGTGTCTCCCAGTAGACATCATTTCCAGTTCTTGCATACTTGACCAGTAAAGCACGCAAATAACACCCTCTCCCTCCACTTTCTAGCTGACGTTGATACATTGGAATTGTCAAGTACTTCTGCCGAACAAGCGTTGGAAGGTGTGCGCCGTTCAGGAATGAAATCCTCGCCAAGAAACAAGAGGGGTCTTGACAAGCAAAGCCAGGTGGGCTCCTTTAATATAGAGCATATGAGTTGAACGCATGCGCTTAGACAAACGGTGCTATCGCTTGACCTTGTTTGTATGCCCAGTTTGTCCAGTTTTGGGTGGGCTGCTAGTCAACCGACTCTTCTAGATTACTTAATTTAGCATGCCCGTTTTTCACAGCCAAAAGTTCCATGGTTTCGTTGCTAAGATGCATTGCCCAGTTTGTCCAGTTTTGGGTGGGCTGTTGGTCAACCGAATCTTCTAGATTATTTGGTTTAGCGTGCACATTTTTCACAGCCAAAAGTTCCATGGTTTTGTTTCTAAGACGCACAAACTTTTCGCCTGTGCTCGATCTCCTACAATAACCACTGGTTTTGCTTTGCTGTGATCTTTTCGAGTGGCTTCAATGCTTTAGACTTTAAGAATAAATCCCATGCGTAAGTGATTAAACTGGTGCAGCTATCGGGAAGCAGTGCACACTTTCGGCACAAACCTATCCCACCAGTAAAAAACAAGGAGTCTCTCTGTTGATCACGCTTTTTCCTCTACGCCTGGTTTTCCAGATAAGAGTTTCTAGGATTTGGGTCTGGAAATCAAGCAATGCGTTCTTAATTCTCCCAGCGCTAACATTTGGTCGGTTAAACTGATGACGTTTTGTCACGTTCCCTGCAATTAATGTTGTCGAAACAATTTGAAATTATACCTTACTTGGCTGTCATAGCAACAAAATTGGGATTCCTCTTCGCAGGCACAAATAAGTGGAAGCGGAAAATCCCACTGATTTTTTTTAAAAAAATCGTCCTCTCACCAGTATGCAGCTTCTAAAGTTTAAACGAACAAAATTGTGATGACGATTCAGGATAATGCAAAGCGTTTGAATAGGTTGGTTCCAATTATAGGTAATACTCAAATCCATGTTCCCCCATATCGACAAGAAAATGTGCCTGTAAATATTTTTTGAATGAATTATGCATGTTTCCGAAGAAGATCTATGCTTTTCATATCATTATCGTGAAATCCTTTGTGTGTATTTTGAGTGAAAGAATCCGACTACGACATCACTCTCTTGGCCGGTAACTATCAGCACCAATACAACCTTGACATTTTGGGTGATCGCTGAACTCAAAGTTTTGGAGGCCCAACTTTACCTAAAACTTGTTACATCGATTCACAGAACTGTCGTTTTTTTACATTACCTTTCACAGCCTCAACTAAAGTACATGGAACGCCGCCGAAAGCATGGTGGAGTCGATGTAAAACAGGTTTTGAAAGAATCAAAGTGAGTAATTTCTTCAGTATGCACCCATTAGAAGAATTTCGTTGGATTAAACTGCATGTGATAAAATGCTTCCACTGACTGCTGCCCATGTGACTTGTAAAATAATTACTTCGGAAGAATCCAAAGTTGAACGCCAACCTTTCAGAGCGAACAATCCGAGTTCTTCCCAACGGATTGTGTTTGACTAATGGTTGTATTGTATTAGCGAGAATATTTCGTCAAATTTTGTCGGCTGACACTATCATTTGTGCTGCTTGTTCGTCCTAAGGCCATCGGTGGCAACTTTTGACCGTTACGTGTTTTTTCTCAAGTCTTTGTAAACCAGTGTGATGTGTTTTGCTCTCACCATCTATTACCATCTTGGCCTTACTCCCACCTCAGAACTTTCATACAAACCGCGATCATAGTTCGGGACATCATTTTGAAAAAGAAGAAAATCCTGGGAACTATGTTCTGTGAGAATAATTGGCAAATTGTCTAGTCTCTTGAAAAGAAAATGCTTTTATTTCTAGCCGCTTCGTTGGAGGTTCAAGTGACGTAAACATATCGAGTGTAGGTGCTACCGATATCCAAGATGTCCACCCCAAGGTCAATCCTGCAATGAACTTAAACAGATTGACCGCTGAAAAATCTTCCATAGTTCAGTAAAATATTGTTATGGTAGTACAGTCCCTTGAAAGTCATTTAGTAAAAACCAATAGAAAATAAAACAAGTCTTCCTTGGTTATGAGAGAAAAGTTGGTTTAGTTAACCTGAACGACTGAAATTTACGACATTCTTGATCATGCACTTACTGATTGTATTTCTGCTCAACTAAGATACGAGTGAGAGTCTCTCAACAGATTCTCTTTGAAGGAATATCCCTAGAATTAGGCGGATAAATATCTGATACTTGGTCCACCAAATACATTACTTACCTGGCCACCTCCAGGACATGAACTTAGGTGATTGCGAGTATTTAATCTGTGTACGTACATATCATAGTCTTCAGTATGAAAGTGCGGTAATCTACATGAACAGCCACGGCGTTATTTCCTACTGAAGTTCAATATCGGGTCAACTGAACAGTTTCTGTTAGCTTCGGTAAATAGCTTAATCTACGTTCATATTCGAAGACGCTCCAACTGACTCTCTTCAGCATGAACAAAATGAGGGTAGTCCTATCGCCAGGAACAATGCAACTGACCTTTTTCGCGTTCACAAGTAAAAGTGACCGCTTTCATGCCACCCAACGGCCAAACGGCTTTGAAACATTTGGTGTTTCAATATGATCACTCCATTGATACTGAGTGATAAAAGGTACTATTTTATTGAAGTTGACTACCTACATATATAAATAATGTGTGGTGACCAGGGTTACTTTAGTTGAAGCAACGTCTGTTATCTGGACATGTGTACACGACCCTCACAATTGTCTAACATTCTGACGAGTACTCATAAGAGAAATAACCGAATCCAGTACTTTCCCTTTTTGGCCTGAACTACCCAGACAACTGCACCAGGTTAGGAGGACGGCTATTCAGACGGAAGTGGTGTAAGTGGATGAAAATAGTTTTCTCCTGTTAGAAGAGTCTAGATCATAATCAATATCCAGTCTATCAGAATCCCGGAAAACCGGTGGTGTTCTTGATGACTGATGTAGCAACCGGAATCACCCCTAGGAATAGGCTGGGCACAAGATCTTGATTCTTTCTTCTATTTTTATATTGTACAACGCGATTTTCCCTTTCTCGTTATTTTGGTTTGTGCCTATACCACTCTTCTGGTTTTTTGACCTGAACATAAACCGTTCTTTGATCTTGTCATCGGACGTGTTGTTTAGGTTCACACGTGGTTTCGCTAGCTTGTAAACAGGTGGCTTTGAGTCGGTGTAGACTTTGAGACCCGTTGGGAATTAGCAGTTCCTAAACCGGTGTATAGAAGCCGGCATAGTCCCACGATTTGAGGTTTGTAAAGCTTTATCATTTTATCGTTGTACTTATAGTACCGCATTTGTAAATAAGCCTCCATTTGAAAGAATTAGCTTTTGGGGTTTTGTGAGTAACTCACCGTGGTTCAACAGATTGCTGGAATCAATCTATACAAGAAGGGTTCCATTCATATGGTAACAGGTTAAATCTGATGCAGCATGCGTTAGCTTACAACTGCAGCCAAGTGAACTAGTCCATTCTTGTTCGTTTGTTTTCTGTTTGTGGTAAGGATTCCTTCCTGGCACAGGATCACCCTGAATTGAAGAACGACATTTTGCCGAACGATATTTTGCCGCTCTGCTGTTCACTTTTGGTTAATTGTTTCGTAGTCCCACCAAAAGTGCTTGTTGATCACCGCGACACCAATGTTAAGCAACCTGTTGCACGGTCATATTTTGTAATCAGTCTAAAATGCTTCTGAGTTACCCAAACCCAGAGAGTAGTGCCTTCACCAAGCAGCCTGGGAGCTTTGGTTGGAGAAAGTCTATTGCAGTGACTAAACTTTCAAGGTTGCACGGTCATATTTTGTAATCAGTCTAGAATGCTTCTGAGTCACCCAAACCCAGAGAATGGTGCCTTCACCAAGCAGCTTTGGTTAAAGAAGGTCTATTGCAGTGACTAAACTTTCACATAACGTATTTTGGCCAGTATATTAAGTGAGTAGAAGCCTCTCCTACTAAAAATTTCTAGCTATTGGATAACCTGCTCGGAGGAACCGCGTGCCGCCACGCGGTTGAACGAGTCTAGGCGTTATACAAGCAAACACACAAAGGCAGTATCAGGTCAATTTGTATCATATCTTACCAGCCGAGGATTCCACATTTCTGTCTATTACACTTAAGAACAAAAGATTTGTAGGAACGTAAATGCCACGTGAATGCGTGGTTTGTGTACAACGTCACTATGACAACCCTGTCTTTATTTCGCTGTGATGATAGGAGCTGTCGGTATAACATGCTAATGAATTGGGTTTCCACTAGATGAAAAAAGACACTCATTCTAGCAGTTGTGTCACACAGCACAACAGACAAAATCCTCCAAAAAGTCAGACGCGTTTCTGTCTACGGGGAAATTACTTTAAGGTTTTCATTCGCACGTAAAAAAAACGTTGAAAATCTCACTGCCAATCGATGACCAGATACTGTTCTTCACCTCTTTACAACTCGGCCTTATATTCAGCATCAGATCACGCGCTCGTTATAAGACTGTAGGTAATTTTCGATAGACTGAGCAACCCCACCATGTCCGGCCTGATATACGCAATACAAGTAGAGCATAAGACCCAGCTGTTTAGCCTGAAGAAGAGTTTTTGATATTTTTCATCATCTCCCGTTGCAGAAGAAGTATTAAAACATGAAGAAAATCAGAAAGTGAAACACCAGACGACCCCTACAAAGTATTTTGTAGAATCATATGATTAACCGGAACGTTAAGCAACACTAAGTTGATTCGCAAGAAGATACGCAACCCCTTGTAAATCACTCACCTTTTTCTTGGCAAATTCAAGCACCTCAAATTGTGGTCCTTTATTCTAATTAGAAGCCAAACTGAAATAATCGTGCGTGAAAAAAAGCAGAAAGCTTTAAACCAGCAACTAACAGCTTTTCCAAGGTTTGTTGACCGAAGCGGGTTTCCACCAGTGTAACCGCCACAGAGGAGAAATTTATTGGTAAACTGGTTAACAGAAGGTCGACCGCGCACCGTCGTAACGTTCATAAACGGGCCAGAAGGCCAAATGAATCGCTTATTTGCGGAAATTGTTGATATCTGATATTCCCATTCAGGAAGCTCTAATGCCTCTAACGTCTTGCGGTCGATAGTTGTACTGAGTCACAGCAAAGCCATTTAGTCGCAGAGGTTGAAAAAGCTGGTCCAAGTGATAGAGAAAACAAAATGACAATAAAACTAGTGTTTTGGAAGCTAACCGCAGCTATGTTAGAAAATCAGATTTGTTCGACTTTTCAAGCTTGATTTCCACGTTGGACAGAACCCAAATGCCCGTCGCCTAGGAGCCCTGTACGCCATACAAACAAACAAACAAACAACAAGTAACGATGGAAAACCTATGTCAAAGAATAAGCGACTCTTTTTGTTATCAGGATACATTTGACCGATTGGAGGGGATTTGTGCGGTTCATGCGTATGTTATCACAGCCCCTTGGGCGGGCAATTTTCATTTTATGGTGATTTGTGCCTCATAATCACAGAGCACTAAACAGCACACCAATAATAATGTTCATCATAACTCTTTATATTGTTTTCTGTAACAGTGCTTCATTGCTTAAAGTTAAACATGGCAAACGAATGTTCCAAATGCTGAGTGATGAACTCTGTGATAAGGTAGGTTCTCCCAAGCAGTCTGTGAGAAAACACATTTCAAAAATCCATATTCATAATGCTGAGTGATGAACTCTGTGATAAGGTAGGTTCTCCCAAGCAGTCTGTGAGAAAACACATTTCAAAAATTCCATATTCATTTCGCAAGTATCTTTTATCCCCAGCAACCAGAAATCACCATCAATTTTTCCATAAACATAGACCAGAGTTATAGAGACCTCTTCAATAAGTCAACATTTCAGTTCAAAACTATTCATGAATTTGCTGATGCACGAGAGGCACAATAATTCATGCCTATAGAGCACATTTCCGAAAAAAATGAAAAAATAAAGATATTACCCTAATAGTTTATGTGCCACCGAAAAAACTGTTGATTTCTTTTTTTTGTAACATACGATATCTGTATTCTTTGTTCGCAAGCATGCACCTTTTGAAGAGTATAAAATGAACCAAGTATTATTTAAGCTGTATTGCTTGTGAATGATAATCTCTACGAACAACTGACACCAAGAAGAAAGCAAATTTGCAGTTTCTCTCGAAGGTGGCTTCCATCTGTATTCATCTGTCTTATAAGTCACTGAGAACGATTTCATTATCCAGTTACCAAAATGCCCTGTCTTCTGGAAATCACAGCTATTTGTTAATCTTGTCTCTGAGAAAATTTTAAGTTAGATTCAGTGCCTTTTTTGTTGCTTTCTTATCAGTATATTGTGAGTGAATCCAGGTTTAGATAGAATCGGGCTGGTAAGTGTCCAGCGCATTGGTGTTTCCACGCCTTTGTGGAATATTACTTCCTTATATCTACATTACTTCATGGGCTTCAAAGGAAGGGACAATACCCGTGTGTTACCGTAAATGATTCTCAGATTCGTAATCACCATCCATGTTATAGCAGTTGACTTCCAGTAAGGTGAAAACAGATGGAAATAGGAGTAATTTCTATTCACACTCAGTAAGTACAGTTGGAGGGAGAGACCCTTGTCAGAGAACATCTGTCCTGTTTACGTACAATTGAAACAAGAGGAAGAATAGTCAGTAATAAAAATGATTTCCACAAAAGTGCCTTGTATGTTATTACCCGTCGTTGTGTATTTTGCATTGATGACTTCAAGACAGTCGCATCACAAGAACAAGTAGTTTTCTACAACAAACAAAAAATATTGTATTTCAACCAAACACCGCCTCGGCTGCTTTGCATTAGTGGTCAAAATAAAAGACGGTCAAAAGATACAAGTAGATCCAGTGAAGTGGTTGACAACTGAAAACGTTTACAAGAGAGTTACAAGAATAGAAATAAGATTTTTGGTCTAAACAAAAAAGACCCTTTCCAGCTTAATGCAAGTGGTTTTCAACGGACGGTGGTCACTCTCTAAAAGCAATTAAAATGACGACAAGATGAGTCAAGTATTTCATGATTCACTGGATGCTGTATTCCGAAAATAGATGTTCACAGATTGCGTCATCAAAGTGTAACCAAGCTGTGCTACTGCTTTCGATTGAATGAGTGGACTCATAATTTCCTAATCAGGGACGAATCACTCAGCTGCAGCGGCAAAAGCATTGCGAGCTGTGCTTTGTAATGCGCTTGCGTTTGATGGAGCATCCTCACTGTTTGCTGTTTGCAACGGGGCGCTTCGAAGACCGTACTTCGTTAGTGACCTTCAAATAACTTTGCAAAGTGATTGGATAACTTCATCCCGTACGCAAAATCTAATTTGATCTTGTGCGTGAAACCAGCACATGTCAAAAAGCCTCGAAGAAGTCTGTTTTTCTTTACCAGACCACAGTTTTGAATATCACCAAGGGTTTTTGAAACGAAGATATAACTGTTTACAGTCGACCAATTTACCAAACACGTTGCATGTCATCCTCTGATCACACTATGTGCATCGCCAAACTTATTTTTTACTTGGTTTTAATTGATATATATATACGAGAGGCGGCAATCAAAATTAAGAAGTCTGTTTTTCTTTACCAGACCACAGTTTTGAATATCACCAAGGGTTTTTGAAACGAAGATATAACTGTTTACAGTCGACCAATTTACCAAACACGTTGCATGTCATCCTCTGATCACACTATGTGCATCGCCAAACTTATTTTTTACTTGGTTTTAATTGATATATATATATATATACGAGAGGCGGCCAATCAAAATTTACTGACTTTCACGCTGCCAACTCCTGAGGTAGGAATTGTTGGCTTCAGGTAGCCACTGCCCAGATGGCGCTCCTTGCTGTCATTTGCGTTCGGCCATGCTGAGCTGCATTTGACATTGTACCTGAAGTTTGATGATTCTAGCAAAGTTTCTATGGAGTAGCTGCTGAAATGTTCTAGATATCAGCAATATAGCTCACACATTCATTCACAGTAATTGCTTTCACCGCGGTTCTGTTTCTCAGATCAATCAATTTTGGGAGAAACGAGACTATTTTGAGCAACGCAGAAAAACGGAACTTTTGCCTCCACAAAGGAAATACTTGGATATCGCCTATCGTAGACCATCGGAGGTGCAAACTACTGGTATGAAATTATTAGTTTGAAATTTATATGAAAATACAATCCCACAGGATTGACCAGTGGGAAAACAAAAAAGCAATTAATTGCGGACAAAAGTAAGTAAACATATTCCTCATGTGCCGTTTAAATCATGCCTAGCCTTATATGAAGAACTCATCAAAGCCGAGCGCCACTTAGAAGAAGAAGCAATAGGTGAAGACAAACTGTTGTCGCAAGAGCCAGAAATCGGGCAACTGACGCAGCAAATTTATGAGAACGCACCAACTCTTTTGGGCACTATATCGGTTTTAAAATCTATCCAGTTGGACACCGCGTGAGTTGTACATGCTATCTGCTACCTGTCGCCGATTGAAATCAATTTCATTGTCACTCCCCTATTCTTGCTCTCCTTTTCACATTTATCGCCGCCATATATATGTATGCTTCATTAAATTTTATATCGCAGTAGCAAAATGTCCTCTGGATTTGTTGTTTTCAAAATCATCGCCAAATATTTCATCCCAGCTATCAGAAATGGGACTACCCACTTCATTTATACTCTCCTGTCAATTGTGTCCCTTCTATTTCTTCTTCTTAAACAATGGAAAGGTTACAAAAGTCACTACAGTCATTTTTATCATCATCTTAATTTCACTTCTCACCTTTAATAGCATCAACATGAGCGACGTCACTACCAACGTCTTGCTTCACACCATAATTTACGGTATTTCAGTGGAATCAAGCATCTTCCTCCTCATCACAATTCTGAAAGTTCCCTTCTTCCTGCATTTAACCACTAAAGCTATCTGTATCGTCCGCGTCTTCCGCAAAATTACTTTAGTAATGTTAGCAACACGTGACCAGCAGCCATAATCATAGCATACAAAATTAATGATGTTTTGCAAGTTACTGAATAGTACAGTTCACTAAAAACACACCTATCTCTCGAGAAGAAGAACAAAATTCTTCAAAAAAGAAAGTCTGAAGTCAACTTCAAGCTTCACCAGTGTTTATTTGTTGGAAACATTGTTCTCATGTTCCATAGAGGGGGCTAATCGATTTTTGGGAGAAATAGTAATTCGACAAAATCTATTTTTACGTAATAGCACTTCAAAATACAAATAACACCTATGGAAAGCCATTGTTGTGACTGGTGTTTGCAGTACTAAGCTTCGGCGAAATGATCCTGCCAGTATTTTCTATCCAAGGCCTTCTAGTTTATGAAATCGTCTTTCTTTAGCTAAATGATACGCGAAGACGCCCGATAAGGACATCACTGTTATTTTGCTGTCACGTGACATCGCGTGGCATTACTGGACGTCACGTGATTACACTGACACAAAACTATACAAAGTCATATCAGTGTTGTTGGAGAAAAACCGGCTAAAACAATGCATCATTATGCAATTGTCTTTTAGTTTTTTGTACCCAAAACCACTCTCCAGAGATACAGAGGCCCACATTTCTAAAGCACTAGATAAGATTCTTATTTACAACCGATATTTAGAACAAATATGCTCAGGTTTTTAGTAGTTCACAAGGCCGCGGACGTCTCCCAAGTGCGCAGAGCAATATAGACTGCTCTCGACACTACTGTTATAGAAGAAAACAGGAACCAGCTGATGAAAGATGTTCGTCTTTTTAAAAGCGGGTACCTTTTATTCATTAGTAATCTACCAGTTTAGTTTGTCATACGACACTTTGACAGAAGTGTGTATGATCGCGCTTAATGGACTCAGACACCAGTAACCAAAATGTTTCAAAACAAGAAAACAAGGACCCACGAATTGCCTGCGCAGCTAGAAAATGTTTCCGATTCCACAATATTCCTGTGGACAGATCAAGTTAGTAATCAGAAACAAATGTCTTGAGCGTACAGACATTCAGGAAACACTAGGCTTGATGTTAGTGCCTTTCGTTTAGTGCAGTTTCGATTATCTGATACCTCTCAGCTTAACCAAGGTATCCGTTGAACTCTGCGGTACTTGATTGTTTCTCAACGATATTCCATGACTGCTGCCTCCAAACTGAGGCTACTTTTGGGATTGTCCAAAACAAGATTTCTTCTCAGTCATAATTTATTAGACAGTTTTGGGAATGGAGCTAAAAATTCTTAGGAAAAACAAGTGATAATCTAACGGTCAATGCCTGTCATAACTAGCTCTCGCTCATCTGATCGGATGCAGAGCGGAACTACAAATTTTTTCAGCCTTCTGCGCTATGTATCGACCGTCACTGAACAACTCAAAAGTCAGTGTACACGATTTTACTTTTCTGAGGGTGCTTTATCCCACGGAAGCACAGATTTCAAACACAACACACCCCAAGATGGTGACCTATAACACATTTTGGAGGTGTGTGTGGTAAGCTTCGTCAACAGAACAGGAGAAATCCTGTCTTTGCAGACTCCCTGCAGAACAGCCCAACCAATATAATAGTAATTATGGCGGATTTTACAACTCTGCGGTTAGTACATATTTGTTTTACGATAAGTGGAACAAATGCCATATCTTCATTGACTGTGGTGCCAAGCGCAGGCGAGTTCCGCCGATTACTTCGAAAAAACATATCTCCATGGTTTCACCCTGACTAAATTAACGCTAAAACAACGACGTGTAGCTACTTGCTGCAAATGAAGGTATCCCTTGGACTTAGTTTCAAGTAGAGATTGTCAATTGTGGGGTGAGTAACCTGTGGCCACCTGTCGCTGTTCAATGACCTGTAAAATTGTATCCTATTACAACCAATCCTGGTAAGCTGTGACGAAGGAAGAAGAGTTAATTGCCAACCATAAATTCGCATAAATAATTGAGGATTTATGAGGGGCTCGTCACTCTAATTTCCAACAATGTGTATTTGGCCTCGGGTTCTCAAAACATGAAGAATGTAAGACCTCATGATCTTTCGACGCTGTCCAATCATAAAAAAGCGGCATATGAGAAGTTTCACACGAGGACAAGACAACAGATGCACAATGTATGCCGCCAGTATTCTAATAACTTCATATTTCTGTGTCCTTGTAAATATAGGTATCTTTTGTTTTCATGCTGTTTGTAAGGTGACTGAAAATTTGTTGACAACCCACTGTCCTTCTTAGGAAATCATTACAAAGGCACCATCCTAGAATTCTCATTCGCCATCTGCTCATTCTGAACGCCAAAATGAGTACCAGTCGGTCAGGCAGGTTTCCTGCACCGTCTTAAAAAGCACAAAAATTTGTGGAAGAGTCCCAAAACTGAGAGAATTATCAGTTATGTCTCACGTTGAAAGCAAATAAATTTACGAAGCAATGTACTTTTTCAAATGGCTATTGTTTGCTTCAACAGCTTTCTGACATCAGCTGAACTTCTTCAAAATTCCAGAAGGGTGTTGTGAGTTGCCAACACATTGATGTAATTGCCCCTAATATCTTGCATTTGATTTGGAAGAAAGCAAAATCTCTTCACAAACCGATTGCTGATGGGGCATATTTAGTAAACCACGTAGTTTATTCACTTTGTTTTATTTGCATTTCACGTGATGAGGAACACGCCCAGAATATAGTCTGATCGTTCACTTTCCAGCTTTGGTCAAGTAATCCACCAACTACGATATTGTTTTTATTGTTGACTGGGATCATTCGGGTCAAATTTCTTCCAAGTTTATGTAGACCTCTGCAGTCATGTAATCATTCGATTATTTATTTACTAAAATCTATGTGAACAGGATAATTTACGTCGGGGCGTATCTGTGCTTCTGTCTGTGAAAGCCACGATATAAGTCACCATGCGGAACCCCTGTGACTCGAAAGTTATGCAGGCTTGATTGGGTTTTGCAAATTTCTGGATGGTCACATTTCACCAATTTTGACCTGCTCCGCGATTGTTGGATAAAGGAGACAGGAGGAACAATTAGCTTTAATAATACCATTACTGCGTTTTTCACCAACAAACTTCAACCGGTCGACCCTGTTGCAATTCCTGCAGTTTTCTTTTACTACTTCTGACGGCCAAGTAGTATAGATTTCACCCATTCGTTTTAGGTCAACGCAAGTGTGTTGTCGATTTGTGTGACCGCAACTGTCTTCAGGATGGTTAGTTCACCAGTCGGTTAAGGCAAATCGGAAAGAAAATTGATAAATGCCACGTTTCACTGTATTTCGTCTACGTGCACTTTCAACTGAAAGCAATACCGCTCGATTCGGTCACTGGATACTTGTCTTACTTACTTGTCTTACTCTTACTTCAATCTCGGTAACCTACGTCTTCAAACACTTGTTGTTCTATTCTGACACGCCACTTTTACAGTGATCGGTGAATTCCATGAATGAGCAGTCACTAAAATTATGGCACTCGAAATACTCGGCGTTCGTGACTAAAGAGGGCATGAACTGTACTCAAACATTCCTGTGATCGACTAGAACCGAAAATATCTGTTTTGTTGAAAATGTGGAAACTGTTCATTAGGAGACTGAAGTTAGGAACGATAACAAATTAAAACGAAAATTCTTCATAAAGGAAACTATTCACAAGTTTGCTGAAGACTCTTCGACAGCCCACGACCGGTTTCGCTCTTCTTGGAACTCATCAGGTAGGCGCACTCCCTGAGTTTTCGTCAACCTTATGTTCTACTTGGACCCGAAACGAAACTTGTTCAACGTTTTTTTCTTTCCAAACTAAGCTCCGCGATTTCCAGGAGGGGAAGCAAAACTCCCGTGTTCACTCTGGCAGTTGAGCGTCGCAGACGGAGACTGAAAAACCAGTGGGTAGAGGAACAACCACGCCCGTTTGCGCCACTGTACATAAATCTGGGTCGACCAGATATCAGCGCAGAAATTAGCAATGGTCTTTTGTCACATGCACTTGACCAGATTGAATGTGGAAGTCATCTGGAGTCAACTGAGGATCCAAACGAGCCTGCTTCTGGACAAAACAGCACTTTCATTGACAGTGAGAGTAGAAGTACCACTGAGGGGGTTACTGTGAAAGAATTTTTCTTCCAGTGAGTTTCCTCTGTATGCAGTCGTGATAATAATCCATTATATAAATTTTCATTTTAAACTTCCACATCCCTGAGAATATTGGCATGTATATTCTACAGGTTGGTTAGAAATGGGTGACCGGAAGTAAATCGCAAATCTGCAGCGAATGATAGCCTGGTAACCGTTCCATCAGCATAGCAATTAGTCAGTTCTGTATGGCGTATCCACTCAAAATTACAGCCATCATGAACAAGGTTTCATCAACTGCGCACTTCAGTATAAGGAATAAGAGGCCCCAGTTCACCGGTCTTCATCCCGCTTTTTGTTAAGAATGGAACTGATGTCTAATGAACAGATAAAGTCACCGTTGGTTGGAGTGATGTGGCCAAATTTGATGAAGTCCTGTCACACTGACACAAAGAGATAGTTTTGGATGGAGTCTGGAGCACACAGAGTAAAGTTTTGTTCTGGCGTTGTCTTATAACCCTTAGATGCAGATGAGCTTAGAAATGTACAATAAATCCTCCGTTCACTTTATTCCTTCGTTCTAGAGACATGCTGTTTGCCCAGTTGTGCTGTTTGCTCTGGTTGTTGGAACAAATGCTCCGAGTTGAACGTGAAAAGGAAGTTGGTTCAACTTCCATATCAACATCTTGGAAATGGAAGTGAGTTGAATGCTAGGCTTCACATTTGAGCTTACTTTGCAGCACAAGGAACGATTAGGTAGGCTCTCTGCAATGATGGTTAAATCTGAGTGGTCAGTCCTACTCTGTAAACCAAAGTTTAAAAAGCAACAGCTCGTTTCACAAGTTCACCTACAATAGTCTAGGTTTTCTAACAACCCGAATGTCAAATATGAATGCGACTTGGTTCACTGGGAAAATAGGGACCACCGCACATTCATACTACCATTCGGTCAATAGCCAATTGTTCCTGATCATCAACCTTGTGAGTAGTTTCCTTTATGCTCCTGATCGATTTCTCTATCGTGATCGCTGACTCACTCACCGGTCAGTTGGGTTAAAAGAAAGGCTACACATTTGACCTCCAATCGGCTTGATTCACAAGTCATTTTGAGAACAGTATGCAGAAAAGATTCAAATTATCTAGTGAGGACAATGTACAGGTCCCCTGAAGAATGTGCTATTCTCTTTAAAATGGTATAACTTTACCAATGCGACCAAAGCTGCGCGATTAACGAAAGTCATAACATGATAAAATTGATATACATCGTGACGAAGACTATAGCAGTATACAGAACTAGTTGGAAGTGTGCCTTACGACGAAGAGTATTCAGTATATATAGGCAATCGCCCTTAATCCAGAAAGTCTAATGCAGGCTATAACCACTTGGTATTTGCGCTTTGTCCAACTGTCCGCTGTCAAGCGAAATGCAATGGCGCGAGCGTAATCGAACCAGGCTAGAGGTCAATCCTTGTTAATACCACAACGACAGCGTCGCAGTCTCCTTAGTGTACCAAGCTGTGAACATTCCTGACCACACCACCTATGAGCAGTTAAGGTGACCTCAGACAGACTAAGACACTTTCTCCACATGAAGATTATGTGAATCATACTCTAGTAACGTCCTGAAAACCAGAGAACAAATCTTGCATAAGTATATTTTTCATTCACTTTACCTTGACAACGACACCAACACTAACACCAGAATGCACTTTGATCCACTGCAATAACTCCGCCACATTCTCTTCGATTTGTTCGTTCAGCTGGTCCGCATGACTGCAAACGTTTTTCATTAATCCAAGCGACATCGACTGTGCATTGCTGAGAAGCGTGAGACAGCGTAGTGATGAAGCGGTGGTGGTGGTCGGCGATAGACCTCTTTAATAGCATACTTTCGTCACACCTTACTAAATGATCACACTTACCAAGAGTCTCGTGAGCCGTGGAATCACTTGAACTGGCTAGTTGCAAGCTTTTAACACCCGATTGTAGTTGAATCCAATCCACGTTTGGTCCGATTCATACTAAACCGAAAACTTAGCCATGCAAAAGCCTTCGTGCAATCAACTTCTCTCATATGCATATTTTATTTGATACTGTAAAGATCCCCAACAATTAAATGAATGGCAAATAGTTTTGTTCCATAGAGTCGTACTTTGACTTTATCTAGCAGAGGTTACCGCTCGGTGTTTTAATTTACTCAACATCGGTTTTGGAAACTCCAACTAGTTCATATTCCTTATCTAAGATTATGCAGAATCAGTGTTTGTTGTATTTATCTTCAGGTTGAATATAGAAACGTGTAACTTGTGACATAAACCGCGGGCGATAATGCCTGCAAACTGCGGTGCACAGGGATGAAACGGTCTATGCACATTGCAGACTTTCCGGAATCAGATATCACTGGATGTTCCATATGCACACCACCAAACTGGCCACCCAGATAGGTTTTATAACAGTAAGAGAGACGTTCAGTGAATTCTAGGGTACGTACGTAATCTCCGAATCCCGCAGGAGATAATTTAGCTCAAAGATTGATACATGGTCAGGCAGTGTTAGAAACAGTGCCCTTTGGAATAGAAAACTTACAAAATGATTGCCCGCCCTCCTGGGCTGATTATTTCGTTCTAATTTACTGACCGTCCCTTTTATTGTGCATCACATGTCCCGACAAGAAAATCTGCCGAAGGTGATTCACCTGCTGCGGAAATTTTTCCAAGGGATGTTGAGCGGGCCTGGCGCCAGTTCGTCCTTCAGCCTGATCCACTCGCAAAACCAAGGAAGAGACTGGCTTCCGTAAGTGTATACACAAATCCACCTATGTTGCCTGCTTAAGTTTATAATGTAGTGACTAACGTAGGGTTGCATGGCTAGAAAACGTTTTACGCTAGCTAAACTGCTGAAAAAATTGGGTGTTCGTCTGCTTTTACGAATTTATGACAGTTACCGGATCTAGAGTGATGCCAAGGTTGATTGACCACTTAGCTATCTCGATGCCCCCGGTAACATTTACAAGTTGTTTTGATAAAGAAGGTGTGGATTTTCTGTAATGCACTACTCATACGGTTGCTGAAAACGCCCCGACAGCCCACGACCGGTTTCGCCCTTCTTGAGGCTCATCAGGTAGGCGCAGTCCCCGAGTTTCCGTCAATCTTATGTTCTGCTTGAAACCAAATTCCACGAACATTGCCAATATACACTCATTTGCAAACTAATTTGGTTTTTCGAGAGACTCACCTAGAACCCAGCTGAATCTCTCGCTTGTGATGTTCTCAGGCAACTGAATGTGCTGCACCAGGCCACCTCATGTTTCACTCGCCATGATATTCGAGATATCGCTGGAACGTAAAAACGCTGGAACCTAACGCTGGAACCTAACCCCAGTAACAACATGAAACACCGAGAAATTCTGCCGCTGCCGCTTCTAAGATCATCATATCAAGGCAGGCCGATTTGGAACAATAGGTCTCTAAAAGTTCACCCTTCCTTCGGGGCTGTATCAGGTTCGACCAAGCGCAAACTCTCTTTAGCTCTCCCACTGTGAGTGAGTACTACTGATGAACCGTGCGAGTAGTCAATAGTTAGTGATCAAACCCCGACCCCTCATTTGATCGAAGGCTAAGTTTATTGCTGAAATTATGAAACCGCTTTGTAGTGTTTCTTTTACCAGTATGTACTAGTCAATGAATATCCATGAAAGTTTAAGAGGATGCGTGAGAATGTTCAGTTCTTAATGATTCTGTGCATATGAGATTATACCTTTCCTGTCTGCTTAGTTCGTCTTTGCTAATAAATGGCTTCAAAGATAAGGGCCTTCCTCCTTCCATGAGCGCATTTGATGGACAAAAGACCGCAGCTCTATCCATATTATGCAGCATAGATGAAACCCCACATCGTGTTAGTCACCGTTACATTAGGGCTCAAGAAGGGGCTTTCCAGTGGAAAGCTGCCGTTTAAAACAACTTTCCTGTCAAACTTGATTTAATATGCGATCTTACGAAGTCGACCACCGCCAAACAGAGGCCGGTTACTTCCATTATCTAGACATCTTTTATTTCGCTAGTTTTGGTGAAAAGTTGTGAAACCTTTCTCTTTTGTAAGTTTCACGCGACAAACTCAGATAAATGCACTCGCTGCCCATCCTCGTAGCCCAACTTATCCGCAACTGTCGAAAGTGCATCCCTGGTGTGTCTCGTTTTCCTCCCTTGGGGTCATTTTGCAAAGAAAACAACTTTGGCCGACTAGCATGTTCCCAGTCAGCATTACAACTTTGGATTCACGTTCGTTCACGAAAATCATGATTCAGTAGAACAAGCGGTTTCACAGTTATCTCATGGAAACACAGTCCACTTATAAATATAAAATGGGAAAACAAGTTGTAAAAGACAGCCTACTTTCGTTGGCGTGCTCATGCTGAAATATTTGACGTCGGCGCGTTCCAAACCCTTGGGGTCGCATTGTTCCTACCGTTTTGGCAATCGGAAGCTTTGTGCTTCTAGCTGTCTACTTTATGATAGCATTTTTCGAACAGCAAGACTGGAACGCTTTCGATAGGTGTGGTGCATCCGCTCAACAGCTTCCTACAGTTGTCGAACGCTGCCAGCATAATTTCAAAGTGCCTTGCGATGGTACTTTTAATCCGCCAGGCTGCGACCCAGAACTAAACGGCTCGCACAGGTTCAGACAGTCACGGCTGGACAAGTCACTCCAGCATCAACTGTGAACATTTCCATGGATGTTTCTCGACCCAAAAGGAGTTCTACTCTATATTTTCCATAAAATGTCCTATTTCTGTCACGCCTTGTCATTTGGAAAGAACTATGAACTATGGTAGCAACCGTTTAAGGGGATGAAAATGTGTAATAATTGGTTGACTGGATATGACCATTAGATTTTATTCGACGTACTTGAAGGTCATCCCTACAACTTTCCGCATAGAACGCCTCTAAATCAAAATATTGCTTTCATAAGCTAGTCAGAATACTCCTAACTGAAGTTCTTTTGTTGTTTATTCCACAGCTTACAGGACTGAAATGGGGATCCAGGCCATCTAGCCGAAACTCTAGTATTTGGAGAGTCTCTTCGTCAATGCGATCTGCTCGAGGTTAGTGACTGGTTGTTTTACCTACACCTAACCAGCAGCAATTTTACAGATGTCCACTTTCAAGGTTTAACAGCCCTTTCGATTTCCACTTTTCACACTTATTTCAACCGTGAATAATGGATCAGAGAAACAGCAGGCATTGTTGGACAGCCAGTCATTCCACCATTGATTAATCTACCTATGGTCACTATAAGTAGCCCTGTAGAATTATTTCGTGACAAATACCAGATGGTCAATTCAACCCCTGTTGTCTTTTTGCTCAAGCTTCCCAGAATAAATCCACTGCTCGCAGAAATATCCTCGAATGAAAACATTACTCTCACGGAAATATAACTGTTGAAAATAAAAATTATACAACGCGGATCGTTTATGTCGTATGGACTGGCAGATTTCGCTGAATAGCTCCGATACACGGGCGTCATAAACTCCCGTTTCCGGTCAACTAAGATACCTTTGAAACGTACGCTGGATTAGCAGCTGGCGTCACTTTACTCGGGATTTCTATCCAAAAACGCAACAGTGTACTAAAAAACGACGTCCAATTTGATGTTTTTGCCAAGCACAAAATGTGTTTTGTCTACCGAATTTCTGAGATCGATTATAGTCATGTCGAACGAAGTTGTGTGCACCCATGAGTGCCTTTACAGCTCAAGAATTTTGCAGTGAGGTTGATCTTTTTTTCCATCCAACACGAAAAATGGAGCTAGTGATTTCGTGCATAGACGGCTTTCATCATATGACCCTACAGTATGTGGGCTCTGAAACTAGGATACACCTTTACTTGGCCACTTCGTCGGTTCAAAGACTTGGTTTATTCAAAGCCACTCCGGCTACGATAGTAATTATTCGCGTAAATGGGGAAAGAAAAAAACCTTATCAATCGAGGCCAATTAAATAGGACGATTAACCAGACTTATCCGTTAGTGTTTTAGTTTGCATATGCCAAAAAACTTGGAACTTTATTGACCCACAAATGGACAATGCAGTTTAATTTACTCTTGTCCCATTTCACCCTCCCTATACCACTCGTCTACCTGGAACCCTCTACCAATGTATCAGACAGCGGCAGAACTAGTGCGTCAAACACAGACAGAGCACTAGCTAATGTACGCAAACTGCTTAGTGCCTCAAGCCTGGGCGACAACCTGGTGTGTGAGAAACCTCGGAAGGCTTCCAGCAGTAGCCGAATAACGCCGGAGTCGGTAGCACTGAGCACGAGTGATGCGAAGTCCTCGTCTAACAATCAGTTGCCGACCAACTTGCCTGGTCGAAATGTTAAATTCACGGAGAATGTGGAACTGTTGGATTTCGATGAGCGGGAAGAAGAGGAACAACATCCGCTTTCACAGCAGTACGTACTAATATGTCAGTTTGCCAAATGCATACTACAACCCCTGCACAATTTCCCAACAGTATTTTATCATTTTGCTACGCAAGCCTGTGGCATCCCGAAGCTTGGTACTTCGTAATAATACTTTTAAACTTGGTTGCGCTCAAAACCTGAATGCGTATGAACCTATCGGTCGAAATACTCCGGTACACAGCACGTCCGATCTGGGCTAACTTTTTTCCGTATTGTGTCCCATCCTCATGTTAAATTGCCAAAGGATCTACCCACACCACTGGTAAGGTTCGTAATGCCGCCTCCTTCCCGGTTCTGTTTTACAGTCAACTTCTGTGTCTGGACTTTTTCTAATGGTTATGAGCTTGTGTTTCAAAGTCACTAAAGTGAAGTCTGTACAGAACACAAGGGTGTTAGTACTGTGTAGTTTCGTGTGGCTGCTGGAGGCTGGAGAGGATACAGAGGTACGTTGCTTCACTAGGTTATCTCGTCTCTTTCCAGGAGCCGTTGTATGGTTGCACCTTGTGAAAGGGAAAGTGCAACTTGCGTGAGCTTCGTCATTCTTTTGACGTATTTGTACAGACGCTACGGGTTTGCCGTTGACTGTGTAGGAAGTGGTAGACTCAAACGTTAGACACTCATCGTTGTTGCTCATCGTAGTGTAATTGACCATGTTTGTTTCGTTGGGAGGTATTTTGTGTTGTTCGTAATTTTGATTATTTCTTCTGCCGACAGTGCTCAATGAACCAGCTTGTCTATGGAAGTATTATGTTCTTCTATACTGCATCGGTCAGGAGTACTTGACGATGCGTGAAACTCATCCACACAGTATTTGCACCAAGATAATTTCGCTAGCCCATATTGGCCCCTGCTGCGCTGGTATGTTGACTTTGGTTCTCGTGGGCAAGTCGCAGTAGCTATTGATGTTTTGCTCACGTGATGTGGACGACCTTTAAGACTAGACGGTCAGTGCAGCCATGTAAATTGACTCTTTTCGCTGTGGGTTTTCGGGATAAAGTTAAATAAGAAACGAGTAGCAGAACCTCACAAGTTTTCGCTGTGGGTTTTCGGGATAAAGTTAAGTAAGAAACGAGTAGCAGAACCTCACAGGTGGGTGGATCCCGTCACATATCTAAACAATGGCACCTCCTAGCGGATTGCATGAAACCGTTCGTATTTGTTCCGCAGGGATATTGGGCCTGGTAGTAAGAGACGGTGATCCATATCCCTGATAAGCAGAATTCAGCATCCACAATCCCTTGATCCAAATGAGGTTCCGTTTATGCTGTGGTGTGGTCCAGATTCTCAGCGTACATTCGGAGTTGGACATTTGAAATTAGTAGCACGCCAGTTGTTGTCCATGAACCTATACTGAATCTAACTTGAGATCATGATAATTCACCCATTCATTTTATTACTCAGCTCGTGTGCTTATTGATCTTCACCAGCTTTGCTCCGTCATGGTCTCCATAACAGCAATCTGCTTTGCTTATGGTTGCCTTTTACAGCACTGTTAGACTAGCGTGTGTGTCCATACACATTCGTGCCTCGTCTTCTGAGTCTGCACTAAGTCATTCTGTCGTGATTTCCTGGTGATCGTACCACCAATCAGAATCGAGAGAACGGCCTCGGAAGCGGCGACCACAAACCACAACACTGAGCCAGCAGTTCTCTCGCCGTTATCTCGTGTGTGGACGTTGAGGCTAGTCTGTGCCGGTCAATGACAGACTCGCCCACTTGCAGGTGCCGCGAACGTGGACGACTGATGATTGCCGTATAATCCGCTATGCAAAATGCCTGGGCACATGCATTTGTTCGGAAGTTTGACTTGTAATATCGGCAGCCAAAGGCACACATTTTACGTCCTTCGATACTGCTCGGTTCTCGTGTGGTTGATCGGATTCCCTGTGAGTCGGGTTTGGACATTTGGAATAAGTGGCACGCCAGTTGTTGTCCACCTGAGGTTTACGGGCTCCCAGGAAGGACAGATTATGGAAGATTACTGTTATAGAAACTGGGCTTGTGACCGCATGAAAATTTTAGAATACGTGCGTGGGTAACTTGTGCCGTAAGAGTCCACCGGAATATTGGCGCAGTTGTGTTGCATGGTTTAGAACTGAGGTGGTATTTCAGACGGTTGAAGTGGATAGAGGACCGACCCAAGAGGATTGTCGAGCTAGAACTAACCAGCAGATTAGGCCATTCGGGCTCCCAAGAGGCTCGGAATCCGAGCAGGGTGGTTTCTAATTGAATTTGGCTCCTGATTCACGTTAATCGGTCGTTTCTTGTTATTCCCTTTTCCTCTCATACGGGAACACTACATCCACTGGCGATTCCAACACTAGGCTAGTTGTGCACCAACCCCAGGGCCATTTTGCAACTTTGATAAGATTTAATAATTACATTTCAACGCTAAACTCTGAGCCCAATATAATTTGATTTGAACCTCAAATGCAAGTGAAACGGTATTCATTTTATTTGAGAGTAGGTTTTCTCAGATTACTCGGATATTATGCACTGAAATCGAAACATATTCGTACTGGATTTCTTCCCTCATTGCATGCTTTTATGGGTTTTTCAACTTTATCCCACCACAGTAAATGGATCACGCTACATGAACTACGTGACACATTTACGCGGGAAATGATCAGCGATATGGCGGTGAGTCGTGTAAACTTCTGTCAGACTACCTTTTTGTCAACCCGAAGTTTTGTCATATTTACAGCTCAGCCTGAAGTTTATGTCACTCATCGCCATCTGGGGGATTCAGACCAACAAGACGCGTAATATTGACCGACCTTGTTTACTAAAATGACGGCACAGCACCTAACTGTGCCACAGCTAATTTTTTGTCTAGTTTTCATCCTGGAATCACACAACGTGTTTCTTTTTTTTTGTAAGTAAAAGAATCACATGAGGAATTCATCTCTTCCACAGTATATTTCCAAACATTACAACATTCTTTCATTGTTACGTTTGTGGACTCATACCACATGCACTCCAGTTCAAACGACTTATTTAGTTCCACCAGCTTGGGATATAGAGCGACAAACAGTTGCGAATGAACGGGTTTTCATTTTAACCCAAGATGCACGCAAACACCTAGCATACAAGACTCCGAAACTCGCATGGGTTAACTCAAATTTTCGTTTCTTAAGGACATTCACGTGGAAAATCGCGTTTATCACTAATTTCGGAAACTAATAAACTGACTTAATCATATTTAACATGGCTAACGGTTTTAGCAACTCCTGTTAGGATGCTCAGGAACCGCATTTGGCCGACCACAAAACCGTAGTCTAATCGAGGCGAGTAAATTCATTGTGCTGACAAACAGTGTAGTGGCACTGAATTTGGCCAGCCGGAACCCGTCGTCTTGGTGACAAGATGTCTGCCAACACCAAAGAGTCAACAGCAAATCGGTGTTAGTGCAACATAAAGTGGGGAGCACCGAGAAAGTGTTTCCTGGAAGTATTCCGCTTCATCCTAATACAAATGCCGTTGGCGTTATCTGTAATAATGTCAGTGTTTTGCGAGAACTGAGTCGGTGGAGACTGTGGTTCCATTAGATTTGTTGAAAATTTTGTTGAGTGAGAATTTAAGACAAGACAGTATATTAATTTCCGTTATTATCAGCTGATAAAGAACTTCCAGGGGATCAAGTTACCTGGGACAGAGGTGTGTGAATATGTGGTCGTCAACCGCACGGAGACCGGGAATACAGAGAGTAGCACGTGGAAAAGAGAGGCACAATTTGGACGAAACAAAGTGCTTCACATGGCGTAAAACAAATCAAATGCTCACTGATTCTGAAGATTTGGTCT